GGTGGGGTGTGGGGTCCCGGGGATGTGGGGTTGGCCCTAGCAGCCATCTTCCGCATGCACACCCTACAGGGTGGACCTGGACTCGGAACAGCGTACAAGTGAGGCGTGGGTGTCATGGATTCTGGGTGGGGGCCCCGTGGGGCAGGCACCTCCACGGGTCACCTCGTCCTTCTGGGAGTCCAGGGACCAGGCTGCGGGTTGCACATGTGCGTGGTGCCGTGAGGCCCCGGTGGACGGGCAGCCTGGGAGCCCGAGGCTCCGACCTGACTTCTTCCCCTGGCTCCACAGGTCCAAGCTCTCCAGAAGGAGGTCTGCGCAGATGAGGGTCTGAGCCGGCCGGTGCCCCGCGCCCGCCGGCAGCCTGGCGCCCCACCCCGTGCCATCTTCTCGTGGTCTGCTGCCCAGCCCTCTCCCTCCAGGGGACGCCCTGCGGGGCCAGCGCCAGCACCGTCGGCCGTGCCGCACAGCCCTTGTGCCCCTAGAGGCTCTGCTGTTGTTGTGTCTTCTTCTAAAATGGCCCTGGGCAGAGTTGGGAGAGGCCAGAAAGGTCAGAGGGCGCAGGGCCCGGGGTGTCGCTGCCGTGCTAATATTTTTTTAAGCATAGACAGACTTATAATTAATATACACTAGTTAGTGATGTTGAAATGGTCCATTGAGAAATTAACTATTAAGACTGTGTTTTATTTATAAGTATTTATTTCTCACGTCTCCAGGTAGACCTCTGTGGTTTGGCGGAGTCTGCCCGTGGCCCAGCCTGTCGCGGGCGGGGGGGGGGGGGGGCTGGGCCAGCCGGGCTCCTCGGGGCTGTGCACGGGAGCACTCACCGGGCAGGCTTCTCCAGGGCTCCTGGGCCGGTGTCCGGTGGTATGCGGGATGCGTGGGAGCCGGAGCCCCAAGTGGGTCTAGAGCACGTGTGCTGCTTTGGAGGGGCAGTGTCGGGGGCAGGGGGGGGCAGAGGGCGGCGGGCAGGTGTGCTGATCTGAGAGGAGGCTGTGGAGGCATCTGGGTGAGGCAGGAGGGAAGTCAGGCTCTCCTGACGCTGCTGTGGGTCAGGCTGTTGGGCTCTGGGTGGCAGGATGGTCCACGCTCAGGATACACCACCCTTCCAGAGTTTGGGCCGCAGCCTCTCCTGCTTCCAGAAGACCGGGGGCAGCATTCCTGGCAGTGCCCGCCTGCCCCGGGGAAGGGTCTCTGTGGGTCCCAGTGTGAAGACTGCAGGCGGGCCGCGGCTGGGCAGCAAGCAGGGGCCACCCACGCGGCCTTCTCAGAGGGGAGTGCTTTTTCCTGCTCGCATCTATGCACAGACATAACGTGTGTGCATGCACGTACACCCAGCCCTCGGGATGTGGGCGTGCCGGGCCAGACTGGAGCCTCCCTGCTTGGTCCACCACCTGTCTCAGCTCTGGCAGCTTGGTCTAGATGGGGTCCCCTCCGGGGCTGCCTGTGCCGACGTGGCCCCCCAGGCCCCCGTGGCAGGAGGTGCTGGCAGCTCCCTCCCAGGGTCTGCGGCTGTGGAAGCCCGTGTGAAGGGAGGTTCTGGTTCCGGGACTCTGAGGGGACCTGGCTGGTGGGGCTGGGGCGGCCAGGCCATGCTGTCAGCGTCTGTGCCTGATGGCGGCCTTCGCCTCGTCAAAGCTGGAGCCTCAACAACAGCCTCCACTGTCCTGGGCTCAGATGCCACGAGCCACCGCCCCCTCCACCACCGCGTCCAGCACACGGGCCACCGCCCCCTCCACCACCGCGTCCAGCGCACGGGCCGCCGCCCCCTCCACCACCGCGTCCAGCACACGGGCC